AAAGCTCATATTCGTACAAATCTCAACGCATGTGACTTCTAACCGAATAATCATTCCATTCGGCAGATAATCTACGTGAGTCGAAACTTTCAGGACGTGGTGGTCTCCGGCTATTTCATGGTCAAGGATCGGTATCTAGTGCCGATGCCAGCGGGGAAGGGTGCCAATGAAACTGCCAAGAGTTCGACAGATCCTCTTGTTTCGACCGACTCCATGCGCAGTTACTTTAACCAGATGGCGTATGACCAAGGTGCGCATGCATTTAAATCTACGCTGCTGCTATCACGTCCTTGAATGTACTAGTGTTTCACCGTACCCCCACAGTGTCGTCAAGAAAATCAAATAGATGCATCTGATTTAATGATGTGTTTATTCTGATGGCGGTAATTTACGTAGTATACAGTACAATAGGGGGAGGGTGACCGGCTGTATGGTCATTTAGAGTAAGGCAATGTATAGCAGTGTAATTTATTCCGTGTCAACTGCTTAGAATTTAAAAAAAACATTTTCTCTTTCAGTGATATTTGGCAACTATTTCGATCACAATCTGGAATACTGGGAGCAGAGAGACAGCGGCCATGTCTTGTTCCTGTTCTACGAAGACCTGGTGGAGGTTAATGTTTGGATATGTAACCATAGTAACCATCTCTGACCGTAACCAGCACATACGTGTTCCGTGTTTCGCTCTTCGTCTTCTTGTGTGTACTTTGTAGAAAATTCCACAAGAAAAGTGTTTTTCTCGTATGACAAAATCAGTGTGTCTGCATTGCCAATCATTTTGTGTGGGCTTTACCTTTTGTCTCCGTATGTTTCTGTGTAATATGGCTTTCACTATAGTCTGCCACCATCTACTTATTTTACTCTTCTTTTATCCTTTAGCTCAGTAAAGGTTTTGACAGTTTGATTTTAATGTAACCAAACCAAACCATGACTGTCTGCCTGTCTGTCTGTCTGTCATCTTCCTCCTTCTCCTCTTCTTCCTCTTTTTCCTTATCTTCCCCCTCCTCCTTTTCCTCCTCCTCCGTCTCCTTATCCCACCCTCTTCTTTTCGTATAATGCACAGGTCTCATTCGGTTCATCTCTGTTCGGACAGGACCTGGCAGGGGGCGTGCGGTGCATTGCTGAGTTTCTAGGCAAACAGTTGAGTGACGATCAGGTGTCGGCCATTGTCGCTGAGACGAACTTCGAGCGCATGCGCACGAACCCGCTCACGAACTGGAATTTCCTCACGAAGAATGGACTGCGCGACCCTAACGCTGCACCCATCATGCGCAAAGGTATAGGGCCGTAATCCTAATCCTAATCCTAACCCTAACAGTGACCCTAATCCTAATCCTAACTCTAACCCTAACCGTAACCGTAGCCGTAACCCTAGTCGTAACCCTAACACTAACGCTACTCCTGACTCTAACCCTAACTTTAACTGTAACCCTGACTTTAACCCTAACACTAACTCTAACCATAACCCCAACCCTATCACTAACTGTAAACCTGACTCTAACCATAACCCTAACTGTAACCCTGACTCTAACCATAACCCTAACCCTGACTCTAACCCTAACCCTAACT